GCGACAGCAGAAACCCATGTCTTTCATACGTCTGTGTGTGGTGGTTCTTGAAGCACTCACTCCAGCTGCAGTCCACTCTTTGTGAATCTCCCCCACATTTTTGAATGGGTTTTGTTTCACAATCCTCTCCAGGGTGCGGTTATCTCTCTTGCTTGTACACTTTTTTCCACCACATCTTTTCCTTCCCTTCGCCTCTCTATTAATGTGCTTGGACACTGAGCTCTGTGAACAGCCAGCCTCTTTAGCGATGACCTTTTGTGTCTTGCCCTCCTTGTGCAAGGTGTCGATGGTCGTCTTTTGGACAACTGTCAAGTCAGCAGTCTTCCCCATGATTGTGTAGCCTATAGAACTAGACTGAAAGACCATTTAAAGGCTTTTGCAGGTGGTTTGAGTTAATTAGCTGATTAGAGTGTGGCACCAGGGGCCATCAATTTTGAACCTTTTCACAATATTCTAATTTTCTGATATGATGAATTTGAGATTTTCATTTGTTGTCATTTGTAATCATCAAAATTAAACAAAATAAACATCTGAAATATATGAGTCTGTATGTAATGTATGAATATAATATACAAGTTTCACTTTTTAAATGGAATTACTGAAATCAATCAACTTTTTCATGATATTCTAATTTTATGACCAGCACCTGTATATAGTTATTGCACTAGGTGTGAAATATAGAGAAACAGGTTATTGCAAAGGGTATGAAATAGTAATTGCAACATCATACGTTACACAAGTTATTGCCGTTGTAGTGTCGCATTGTAGAGTCTGACCACTAAGCCTCCACTCCTATATATATATATATATACCGTATATATATATATATATATACTGCCTGGCCAAAACAAAAGTCGCCACCAAAAAAAAAAGGTCCCTCACTCTAATACTTTGTTAGACCGCCTTAAGCTTTGATTACGGCACTCATTTGCTGTGGCATTGTTTCGATAAGCTTCTGCAATGTCAAAAGATTTATTTCCATCCAGCGTTGCATTAATTTTTCACCAAGATCTTACATTGATGATGGTAGAGTCTGACCGCTGCGCAAAGCCATCTCTAGCACATCCCAAAGATTCTCAATGGGGTTGAGGTCTGGACTCTGTGGTGGCCAATCCACGTGTGAAAATGATGTGTCATGCTCCCTGAACCAGTCTTTCACAATTTGGGCCCGATGAATCCTGGCATTTTCATCTTGGAATATGTCTGTGCCATCAGGGAAGAAAAAGTCCATTGATGGAATAACCTGGTCATTCAGTATATTCAGGAAGTCAGTTGACCTCATTCTTTGAGCACATACTGTTGCTGAAGCTAGACCTGACCAACTGCAGCAACCCCAGATCATAACACCTCCCCCACAGGCTTATACAGTAGGCACGAGGCATGGTGGGTGCATCACTTTACCGCCCATCACTCTGGAACAGGGTAAATCTGGACTCATCAGACCACATGACCTTCTTCCATTGCTCCACAGTCCAATCTTTATGCTCCCTAGCAAATCGAAGCCCTTTTTCCCGGTTAGCCTCACTGATTAGTGGTTTTCTTACGGCTACACAGCTGTTCAGTCCCAGTCCCTTGAGTTCCCTTCGCATTGTGCGTGTGGAACTGCTCTTACTTGCAGTATTACCCACAGCCCTGAGTTCTACTGTTGTTTTTCTTTGATTTGATCTCACCACACGTTTAAGTGATCGCCGATCACGATCATTCAGGATTTTTTTCCGGCCACATTTCTTCCTTGAAGATGATGGGTCCCCACTATCCTTCCAGTTTTTATTAATGCGTTGGACATTTCTTAACCCAATTTTAGCAGTTTCTGCAATCTCTTTAGATGTTTTCTCTGCTTGATGCATGCCAATGATTTGACCCTTCTCAAACAGACTAACATCTTTTCCACGACCACGGAATGTGTCTTTCGACATGGTTGATTAGGAAATGAGAAGCAAGTCATTGCACCAGTTGGGGTTAAATAACTTGTTGCCAGCTGAAAGATAGTCGCCCATGCAATAATTATCCAATAGGAGGCTCGTACCTATTTGCTTAATTGAATCCAGGTGGTGACTTTTTTTTTGGCCAGGCAGTGTATATATATATATATATATATATATATATATATATATATATATATATATATATATATATATATATATATATATATATATATATATATATATATATATATATATATATATATATATATATATATATATATATATACATATATATATAGTGGTGTCAAAAGTACACACATTTGTTACTAAAGTAGAAGTATAGATACTGCAGTTTAAAAACACTCTGGTAGAAGTTGAAGTATCAACTTGACCTCTTTACTCAAGTAAAAGTATGTGCTCCAAACACTACTAAAAGTATAAAGCAAAAGTATAAGTAAACAGCCAGATGCCACTATATGAATTTCAACTGTTGTAAAAATTTCTTTGAGATAGGGCCAAGGATGAGGGAGGTCTTGTTGGTCTCCGTCTTCGTCTCCATCTCCCGATATGCTCTCGCCTGTGTCCAACCTTTCAGACATTTCAACATATTTTTCTGAATCAGACATTGTAGCATGGCATAGACAATTCACATTTGCAGTTTGAAGAACACCTGCTTGGTTCTGATGATTTCCTTTAGCTAACCAATGAGTGTTTGCATTATATGACTCATCCCATTACACTAGTTTTAGCTTGATGTGGATGGCGCCAATAATCTGCATTGGATGGCGCACATGACGAGAAATAAATATTTATAAACATTAAACCGAAGCCAAGAGTAACAAGTGCGTGGGTTTTCTCCGGGTACTCCGGCTTCCTCCCACAGTCTAAAAACATGACTGTTAGGTTAACTGGCTTCTCTGAATTCTACTTAGGTATGAGTATGAGTATGGTTTATTGTCCTGTTTGTCTCTGTGTTGCTCTGCGATGGACTGGCTACCTGTCCAGGTAGGGTGGCCAGATGTCCGGCTTTAGGGCGGACAGTCCGGATTTTCATTGCACTGTCCGGCGTCCTGCGCTGCACCCAGCCGGACGTGTATTTGTCCTCCTTTACCCCCAGATTCCACATACTCCGTCAGCGCTCTGCCCCGCTCACGTACGGAGTACTTGTCTGTCATGTAAATCAATGAGAGCTGTTCCACATCCTCCGCTCGTCCCCGCCCACGTACGTCTTCTCCGTCCTTCACCGTCAAAATACGGAGCTGAGCTATTTTTTGCTCCCCTCCGGTCCGTCCAGATCAAGACCCGCTATTGCAATCGCACCAAACAGAAAAAAGAATGTAGAGAAGACCCGGTTTGTCAAATTAAATTATAGTAAAAACAGATCGGTATCTAGAAATTAGAGCATAGTTTGTATGTATTCCCAAAAACTAAGAGCAATTAATTAAATAATCGGATGCAGACTATTGGTGCTTCAACAGACCAGGAAGAAGTTGTGAGATTCTAGAGTGAATCTCACAACTTTAAAAGAAAATTCTTATTGCAGGAATGGATGAAGAGATGATGAGTTTGGAAGCAGAGAATAAACAGAGAACTATGTATGATCCTAGTTATCCCTGTTACAAAAATCCACAACAGAAAGAAAATATTTGGGCAGAAACTGAACATCTGCTGGATGATGATGGGGATTTTTTTAATATGTCAGATTAAATTAAGCGTTCACAGGTTTTATACAGGAATGAGGAGTTCTAATTTAATGCTCTTTTAATGCTATTAGAAATAATTTTAATGCCATCAACAAGTATCATGTACCCAAGTTATTAGTTTACATGAAATAAGGAGCTGTAAGCACAGTTCCATGACTCAAGTTTATATATATATATATATATATATATATATATATATATATATATATATATATATATATATATATATATATATATATATATATATATATATATATATATATATATATATATATATATATATATATATATATAGATAGATATATAGATAGATAGATAGATAGATATGGATAGATAGAGAACATGGTGAAATCATCTTTACTCTCGACAGGCTGCAGCCATGTCATGAATTCCTCTTTTCCAGCCACTTTTTGCAGTTTGCATCGTCCTATTCTCTAGCTCTTTCTCGAGCTTCTTTTCCAAACAACTGCTTTATGATCAATTGCAGCAGTTCTGCGCAAATTGTGTTAAAAAATGGTCACTTTTTAAACACCACAATGTATTAAATAAATACAAATGCTGGGAACCAATTCTTTTTTACATTTCTTTAATATTTTGTTCTATTCAGCTACACAAGCATCCTCTTTAAACTACTAAGAATTGTGCTATAAATGTGACTTTACCCGATTCTTATGTACACCTTAGTAATTTATTGATATGCCGCACAATGTCCTCCTTTTTGGTGCTATAGAAATGGCCACCCTATGTCCAGGATGTACCCAGCCTCTCGCCAGTAGACAGCTGGAGATAGGCACCAGCACCCCTTGCAACCCCACTTGAGATAAGCGTGTTAGAAAATGGATGGATGGATATATATTTATATGGCCCAGAGTGCAGCATAGGTCCAGAAGCGGCCTTTCTCACTAGAGACTCAGTCTCTTTCTGTTCCACCCAGCAGAGAACAGCTTAGTGGAGGGCTGATGCCACCATAGAGTCATAGGGTTTTAAGCAGGGGCCCGCTCACTGCAAATGACCTCAGCCTCCTCAGGATGTGGAGGCGCCTCTGGCCCTTCTTGTACAGGGCGTTGGTGTTATGAGTCCAGTCCAGTTTGTTATTGACGTAGATCATTTTCTTCAGAATTTTCTAAATAGACCTACTTAACACAAAGACAATAATTAGGAACATATTTGACCCACATAAAGATGTTGTAAAACTATCTTAAAGATACAGTGGAGCACTGCCTGGTGTTGGGTTTTATTCTGAAGTTAATCTTTACTATTTCCTGTGCGTTTTTTCTGCCTCTTCTGTTAACTTGACTCTAGTGTGAGTGTAGCATTGCTCCAGGGTGAAGCTGCAGAGAAGCCTTTCCCATAATGCGGGGCGTGAGGCGCTCCGTGCAGTGATCAGAGGGGCTCCAGGGGAGGAGGAGGAAGGAGGAGGAGGTGTTTTCATAGCGCTCCCAGCCTGTCTCTGCAAACAGAACCATGTCGAACCGAAAGCATCGGGACAACCAGGAGATCTGCTCCAGAAAGGTCCGGGAGCTGGCCCAGTCTGGAGTAAACAAACACTGCTTCGAGTGCAACCAGCCCGGGGTGACATACACCGACATCACGGTGGGCAGCTTCGTCTGCACGTCGTGCTCCGGAATGCTGTGAGTAACCGAAGCGTTTCTGCTCATTTACTGATGCACAGTTCAAACTAAGCAGGCCTGAGATTGCACAGCGCACACTCAGATGTGCAGAGCATTATTATATTAATATTATTTAATATCCCTCCTCCTGCTCTAACGTTACCAGGCGGCTGTTGGTGCAGCAGCAGTCCTGTATGATGATGATGATGGTGATGTGTGCGCATTAATTTACGCAGCGTCTGCCTCTGTCTCTCCCTCTGCCTGTCCTCTCAGCAGCTAGTTGGTCATATTCCAGCTTTTACAGTATATGCAGGTTTGACACACTCCTCTGTTTCTGCAGGCCCCCCCCCCCTGTGTGTGGTATCACAGTTTGTTCTGCATGATCAGTCCCAGCACTCCACAGGAAGGACGGGTTGTTAGTTATTGCGCAATCAGTGGCCCACTTTGTGTCCCCCAGCATGGTGAAAGTAGGAGGCTCTGGTTGAACATATGGCCCCCACCTATCTGTATCTCTCACACCTTTTAGACGCGTTTTATCTGCAGGAATCCGTTTCCCAAAAGATCCACAATCACTTCAGTAAATGTTTCCCTTTTCCCACTTGCTTTTAATCCACTCACAGGCACTTCTCAGTAAATTAAAGCATCTTTGAAAAGTTCATTTGTTCCAGTGATTGAAATGAAGATGCAGAATTCCTATTTTAAAGAGATAGATTAATAGAACATCTAGTAGATAGAAAAAGTGTAATTGAAGGTGCATAATTTGCAGAGGATTGCCCTGGAATCAGTGTTTCAAGGGAGGAAACTGAATTGTTGCTCTGTTTCTTTAGTTTTTATTTTTCCTCATAATTGCAATCCATATTCATTGTGTTTCTTTTCTGCTCTACTCAACTTTCCATTAATATGCCTGAATACAGCAGTGTTTAAGCAGCTGGCTTCTGGGCTTTGCAGGGGGAGTGTTGGCCTCTCTGAGCAAAGACCTCTAACCCCACACCGCTCCGCAGGCGCTGCACAATGGCAGCCCACTGCTCCCCAAAGAGGATGGACTAAATGCAGAGAGTTAATTTCTCCATTTAATCAATAAAGTTAAATTATTATTCTTAAACAAGTTTTTTCTGTAATTTTGAGGCTGTATCATGACTTCTTCATGAAACGTAATGCAACCTATGCATGCACTGTCCCAGTGGTTAAAGGGTTAAGGACTTTGAATCAATATGGGGCACCTTACTGAAATCCAGGTTGTGTCAGAAAGTTCATCCTGCATATAAAAAGATTGCAAACTCTGTGAGGCTTTCATTTGGAAGTAAACTAATGGACACAATGTAATGTTAAGTAATATTACAAGCTAATGTATGTTTTCATAGCTCTACCATCAACACAAAAAAATTCTAGTAATATTTTACCCTCGATGTAATGATTGATAGAAAATTATATAAATTTCTCATTTCCTGATTGATTTGCTGGAAGAAATAAACTTTTAGATTACACACTAATTTACTGAGAAGAACTTGTAATCTGTCCTGGACCGTCACTTTGAACTCTCACAATTCTCGTTTCTTTAAAATTTTTCCACCTTTCCTCTACATTCTAGGAGAGGCCTCAACCCTCCTCACAGAGTCAAATCCATCTCCATGACAACTTTCTCCCAACAGGAAGTGGAATTCCTCCAGAACCATGGCAATGAGGTAAGAGACGCTCCATCCTATCACCTCCTTAATCTTTATATTTCATTGCCAGATGGAGGTTTCTGTTTTCTGAATATCCAGAGGGTTTTTAGGAAGAGAGATGCCTGTGCTTCATTGCTGGTGATTTCACCACTTCTTAAAGCACAAAGGACTTGACTAGTAATAGTAAACAATATTTATAGGACCAGTGCCAACATTTAAAATTAACCTAATGAGTAAATAAAAAATATCCAGTAGACTAAACAGCAAATCAAAACATTCTCTCTTCCTAAGTATTATTTTGATAATTTGCATAGTTTATTATAAACAGATGCGTTTTCAGAATTAAATTCTTGAAGTTTTTGGGACAAGTTTTTAATTTAGGAAACACGGCTCACTTACAATTCAAGTTTTATACTTATAATTACGGTAACAGGAGTCAATAATTTCACAATCCAAAAGTAATTTTTTTTTCCCTTTCTTTCAAGTTTTCCTTAAACTGAAGTGCTGCAGGGAATAAATTGTAGGTGAGGAACCTGTCGAGGATTATTTAGGATGTGAGTGGAATTGGCATATTTTAAAGCATGATCTGCAAAAGAAACTGAAAGATGCATTTAAGATAATTTCAGCTGTACTGGATTTATTTTTTTTGTTTGTTATGTGCATAGAACTCGCTAAAGCAGCTAATTCATGCTAATATCAGCCCCATAATTGATAAATGATTAAGTGGCTAAGAGCACCCAGTTATCTGTTGCTAACATCTGCGTTCTGTCCAAACATAAATTATTTAGAGGAGGCTTAAAAGTTCAAGTCTTTTTTTTCCCCCCTCTCTTTCCAATGAGTCAGTACTGATTGCATGGAGGCAGGCCCGCATTATAATGCTGCCTCTGCCATGCTTGACAGTTGCTTCACTGTCCGTAGCTTCAAACATTCTTTCTTTTTCTATATTTGTGGGTCCCTTAAATAACTGGTGATAATGATATAAAGTCATATTTGAGAAAATTGATTTTTCTGTTAGTAAAATTAACTGAATTTTCATTTTGTCTTAATAAGCAAATAAAAAAACATGTTTTTAAAAAGGATGAGAAAAAATGTTGCATTAATGTCTGTGATGGGTGTGTTTACTTTTTAACCTGTGTTTTTTTTTGGTTGTTGTTGTTTTTATCTCCTGAAATAAATAGTTTTAAGTTGTATGAATAATGTAATAAACTATAATTGTTCTATTAAATGAGAGGCTAGTTATATAACATTTTAAAAATGACCCAAATAGAAATCTTTTGCCAAGAACTTTGCAAAAAAAATGTAAATCTGAATGTGCCTAGATAAACTGGCACCAGAGCATTTTGAAGTATATCCATATTTTAGAGAGAGATTGTTCAGTGTGGGTTTGTTGGGTTTTTTAAAGCCAGTGCCAGCTAAATCAGAGCCAACAGTACCTGGAGGTCTGTTTTTATTTTTTTGTCGCTAAATGCTACCAAATTGCATTTCTTCTCTTTTTTTCTATGCATGGATTTAGAATTTTGCCAATTTATTTGATGATCAAGCATTTCTTCACTGTTAGGATAAAATAAATTAGCTGCTGCAGTAGCCTGTGTATCTTCCTGCTGTTGGGGAAATTTCATAGGATTGTTACAGTTCTGCTCTGCTACACATGCAGTGAGACCCTAGAGGGCTGCAGACCGTCCACTGAGATCTTTCAGTTTTTATTTGACTGACAGGAAGCTGCAGACTCACAGCCACAGCATCACCCTGCTGCTCACTGGTTTACAAAGGATGGATGTTACTAAAATCAGAGGAGGCCGCTATTCTAAAAACACAGGAACAATCCAGCTAATTTATTAGCTTTAAGATGCATTTAACTTCTAATAGTTCCATTAAACGAGTCAAAAGAAAATATGTTTACAAGGATGGAAAAACTTTAGATTACATGAATCAACGCATCAGTCATTCAGCTGTTTATTGTAGAGACACATCAGTCATCCTGGCAGATACACTATATTGCCAAAAGTATTTGCTCACCCATCCAAATTATTGGAATCAGGTGTTCCAATCACTTCCATGGCCACAGGTGTATAAATTCAAGCACCTAGGCATGCAGACTGTTTTTACAAACATTTGTGAAAGAATGGGTCGCTCTCAGGAGCTCAGTGAATTCCAGCGTGGAACTGTGATAGGATGCCACCTGTGCAACAAATCCAGTCGTGAAATTTCCTCGCTCCTAAATATTCCACAGTCAACTGTCAGCTGTATTATAAGAAAATGGAAGTGTTTGGGAACGACAGCAACTCAGCCACGAAGTGGTAGGCCACGTAAACTGACGGAGCGGGGTCAGCGGATGCTGACGCGCATAGTGCGAAGAGGTCGCCAACTTTCTGCAGAGTCAATCACTACAGACCTCCAAACTTCATGTGGCCTTCAGATTAGCTCAAGAACAGTGCGCAGAGAGCTTCATGGAATGGGTTTCCATGGTCGAGCAGCTGCATCCAAGCCATACATCACCAAGTGCAATGCAAAGCGTCGGATGCGGTGGTGTAAAGCACGCCGCCACTGGACTCTAGAGCAGTGGAGACGCGTTCTCTGGAGTGACGAATCGCGCTTCTCCATCTGGCAATCTGATGGACGGGTCTGGGTTTGGCGGTTGCCAGGAGAACGGTACTTGTCTGACTGCATTGTGTCAAGTGTAAAGTTTGGTGGAGGGGGGATTATGGTGTGGGGTTGTTTTTCAGGAGCTGGGCTTGGCCCCTTAGTTCCAGTGAAAGGAACTCTGAATGCTTCAGCATACCAAGACATTTTGGACAATTCCATGCTCCCAACTTTGTGGGAACAGTTTGGAGCTGGCCCCTTCCTCTTCCAACATGACTGTGCACCAGTGCACAAAGCAAGGTCCATAAAGACATGGATGACAGAGTCTGGTGTGGATGAACTTGACTGGCCTGCACAGAGTCCTGACCTCAACCCGATAGAACACCTTTGGGATGAATTAGAGCGGAGACTGAGAGCCAGGCCTTCTCGTCCAACATCAGTGTGCGACCTCACAAATGCGCTTCTGGAAGAATGGTCAAAAATTCCCATAAACACACTCCTAAACCTTGTGGACAGCCTTCCCAGAAGAGTTGAAGCTGTTCTAGCTGCAAAGGGTGGACCGACGTCATATTGAACCCTATGGATTAGGAACGGGATGTCACTTAAGCTCATATGTGAGTCAAGGCAGGTGAGCAAATACTTTTGGCAATATAGTGTATGCATCATCCAGGAAAAGCCTGATTGGTGCAGCTGTAATTTATTTGTTTGTTTTCCTTTACTTAGCTGTGAGATTTATCGCTATAATTTTATAAGAGTGTTAAAACGTTCATCATCTGTGAGCTGCCTTTGCATCGCTATGACAACTGGTACCTTTTCCCTGATCTGCAGCTTATTTAACAAGTGTTTTAGGTCAGTTTGCGTAATTATGGTTGAGCAGAGATAGCTCCTTAGAGGGGCATCGGTTGCATGACGCGGATGATGGGAAAAAGATCCGTTTGGTGTGTTTTCCAGTCGAGCTTCATGTGCACTGAAGCCGAGGTGTGTGGGGTCAGGATGGCTTTCGTCATCATCCTCTCAGAGTGATCTAACCAGTCATGACTCACAGGCAGTGTTATTTGCTGCACTCCGACTCTTGATGAATCACTGTTGAGGAGATGTCTGTTTTGTTTTTCTAAACCGTCTCCTTCATGTATATCTGAACTGAAAAGAGACTGTTCTACATTTTCAAACTCTAGCTGTTATGAATCAGCTCTGTCCCTTTTGGTGTTCTTTACATTTAAAATGCGTGTGTTCAGGTCGGTCGAAGAACCTGGCTGTGTGTGTTCGGCCCAAAGGCCGATGGCTGCCCCGACTTGAAGGATCCTCAGAAGTTTAAAGAGTTTCTTCAGGATAAATACGAAAAGAAAAAATGGTGAGAATTTTATCCAACTTTTCAACTACAAATCGATTTCAAAGACCAGAAGGGAGATAAAGCTAAGATTTCATTATTATTATGTTCTTGGTAATCTGAAAGTAACTGATAATCTGATTTGAAATAAAGGAAAGTCTTAAGAGGTGCTAAATCCAAAAATGTTAACATCTAAAACTGGAAATATGATCTGATGCTAAGATTTCAGTAGCAGTCAAATGTTCATACACAGAAGAAACAAACAGTGTTTCTAGATCAGATAATCTGTGAAATATGACATTTCCATTAGGGATGCACGATATAATCAGCCCCCTATCGGTATCGGCCTTAGAACTGAATATCAGACATCGGCCACCACACCGATATTTAACCCGATATTTGATCAGCTTCTGAGTTTCTAAAAAAAAAAAAAAAATACTACTTCTTCTTCTTCCTCGAAAACTCCTTTTTTACACTTAAAAACTTCTAAAGACGAGGGAAAAATGTTGATACATTAAAATATCACAATCTCTTCATATGCTGATATATTGCCATTTAAAAACACCATATCAATCTCTTTTACTAATGAAATATTGCTATATGTCATCGTTATGCTACGAAATCCCCCGAAAATTCACAAAATTTTGCCATATTTTTATATGTTGATAGATTGACACGGTATCGATCTATTTTACTAACAAAATCTCACAAGAATTTGCAAAATATCACAAGAGTTTGTAACAGAACGATGAAATTTCACGAGATTTTAAAAGTAAAATATATCGATACCGCGTTTTTAAAAATCGATTTGATATCAGCATATGAAAATATATTTGAGAATATTATTTTTCAAAGTGTCAGAAATGGATAACAAAACTGCTATTTTCAATGACTACTTATTTTTGTCCAGCTTTAACATCAGTATCGATATTGGTTATCGGCTACATGAGTTTTAAAATATCGGATATCGGCCAAAATCCCAATATCGTGCATCCCTAATTTCCATACATGTTGATCTCTCTATTTACAAGAAAAGCTGTGGTAATTTGATGGTCTGGCTGTTAATTACCCGCTTGTTTTACAGAATGCTGTCCTCATCTCTTAGGTTTGTGTTGTTGCTTCTCTTAAATCCAGAATAGTGGTCATTCTCCCTACCTGTGGTGACTTCTCTGGAGCTCATCCACACATAAACGATATTTACAGCATAGTTGCTCAGTCTTTAATTTGCTAAGTTACCAATGGGTGATCACACATATGGTCAGTTCAATTCTATTTATTTAGCACTAGTTCACAACACATTTAACCTCAAGATACAGAAACAATTCAATAGATCATACAGTCAGATTGATAAAAGGCTGATTGCATCAAGTCATTGACTTTGGAGGATTTGCTCCTCCTGAATGGTCATGTAGTGACAGAGGACATTTGCTTGCCTTGTGTTGTTGGATTAAAACGGCACATAGAAAGTAAAAGCTGAGCCCATAAGCATTTCTAGAAGAGAAACGGGAATAACCACTGAAAAAACAGGGCTAACTCTATCATCTATAATGGAAGTTGTTATTGACAGCAGCCAAGCTTCACAGCTAAAGGTGTGAAGCTTGGTTGAACTAACAAAATATGACAATCGAAAGAGAATGAGACAGAGTGATAAAACATATTCAACATATTCAGGTTCAAGGGAAAATAAACATGTGATTTATTTATGCTTCATATAATTCAAGATATTTAGGTTTTCTGGCTCTCAGATATAACCACATCAGCCCTTTACGGAAATCTTCTTTTTTACCTGTAGTAACGTGGCAGACCTTTGCTTTTCAGTAATGCTGTTTTTTTATGGCTGGGTTCTGCTTTCAGTTTTCTGCTCTATTATAAAATCTATAGCTACTTGCTTTCAGTACAATGATCCCTTTTTTAAACTAAATCTTAAGGTGAGGTTGTAACTGATCTGTCTACCAGACCAGTTTATGAGACAAACCAACTTTTATTCTTTCTTTGTACAGGCATTTCTCCAAAAGCAAGAACCGCAGAGACGTCGAGGGCCCCTGGAGTCCCGGCGTCCTACCAGTGCCCTCCTCCCACGGTCCATTATCCAACCAGGGCCCCTCCCATAATTTGCCGCCTAATGCCAGATCTACAAGGCCACTGGTAAAAAATACATTAGGAGGATTGAGATGGTTATGGAGAATCAATAAAGGAAGGAGGGGGTGGAGTAGCAGTAAACAGGAAAAAGGAAACAAAAGTAGGCAGGTTATTTAAGAGGAGAAGCAGAAAGAAAAGAGAACAGCAGGTAAAAAAGATGACTTTAATTCATTGCAGCAGAGAGGCTGATAGGTTGGACAGTCTAAGGGCCGGGGAGTCCCCACATCAAAGGTTCTGCTTATGAATTATTGAGAAATGATGAAACAGGCTCACCCTGTCTGTCTAACTCGTTTCTATGTCTCTCTACCTCTTTAATCTCCTCCAGTCTCAGTCCCAGCTGCCGTCATGGGATCGAGCTCCTGCCGTCTCGCCCGCTGACATCCGGACCGACGCTTTCACAGCCAGACCTTCTCGCTCACAAAGTTTTCGAGACCCCCCCCTGAAAGGTCAGGGGTTCATTTTCTTTTGGCAGAGTTGTTGCTTTTGGGAGAGGAAGTGATCACATGATTTTGGTTTTCCCGTGATCCAGATTCCACGCTGTGCGGCATAGAAAGGCAGCGGCCGGGCTCCCTGTCGTCAGCTCTGGGAGGTCAGAGCCACGGCCCCTCATTCCCCGCCCTGCCACGACCCACAGGTGGGCTTTACTTTCCCTCTTCCTTAGCAAAAATGAGGATAAATGTAGAAAGTGGACTTTACACCTTTTAAACTTAAATTAACTATTCCCCCAACTATTTTTTTTATATATTGTAACTGATCTGCCTTTTCATCAATGTTAAATTTACACAAGGTTATGAGGGGTTCTCCTTTTTTTTCATAAAACGTAAAAATATGAATAATCTGTACTTTAAATCGTCAAAAGTTTTCATACCCTTTGAACTTTTGTACATTTTGTCACATCAAAACCACAAACTCCGATAATGTATTTCGATAGAGATTTATTGGATTCATGTGACGACCAAAGTAGCCAAAATTTTTGAAGTGTATGAGAAATGATACATTGTTTTAAATATGAATAAAAATTAGATAAAATTGCCATCCATTAAATGATGTACTTATTTTATTTTCAGAAAGCTGGCAGCTCTTTCTTTGTTCCCATAATATAGGATGATGTTCTAATAATCTTTGCCAGCTTTAAGAAACTGAAATGAGTAAACTATCTCTTCATACAGCAGTTTAATGAGGATAACTAATTGTAATAAATAATTCCTTCAGCCTCTCATCGGTTAAAGCTGCTCATCCCCTCGGTAGCCAAGGTCTGAAGATTTTAGAGACTGTTGTAGAATAAATGCATGCCAAAGGTCAAATCTGTGATCCACAGCCCTAAAATGTAAACATTTCTAAAACTGGTTGTAAATTAAAACTTAAAAAACAGTTTTTTAATAAAACTCTTTCCTAAAAAATACTCTGAAAACAAGATGTTTGATACATAACTTTTTAAAAGCTAAATTATGAAGTTTTTAGACGATTGAGCTTCTCTGTAGTCTGTATGAAAAAGTTTAAAGCTGAAAAGTGTGTCTCAAAATAACATTTTCATGCCTTGTAAGATAAAAGTTTTGTTCAGTTATAGTGCTAAACATCTGGATTTTTCAATTCTAGTTTACTTTTAGTCAGTTGTAACTATTTTTTTCTCTAATTTGTTATAGTTGTTGTTTGATTGTTTTATTTTCAAGTTCATATTAGGTACTATCAATACTGTTTAGCTTTATCTTAATTTTCATAAGTGCTAGTTTCCGTTTTTATACTTCGGTTCATTTTTAGGTGCTGGATTCAAAAACTTATATTGTATTTAGGAAATGATGCGTGTAAGTAATAACAAACTCCATCCATCCCTCATGTTTATCCCTACTGGGGCCGCGAGGGGTGCTACAGGCAGAAGGCGGGGTACACCCTGAAGAGGTCGCCAGTCCATCGCAGGGCAACACAGAGACAAGCAACCATCACACATACTCACACCTAAGGAGAATTTAGAGAAGCCAATTAACCTAACAGTCATGTTTTGGGACTGTGGGAGGAAGCCGGAGTACCCGGAGAGAACCCACGCATGCACAGGGAGAACATGCAAACTCCAAGCAGAAATCAAACCAAGAACCTTGTTGCTGCAGTGAAAAATAAAATCCCATCTCTTTGTAAAGCTTATAAAAAATGGATAAAGATGAAAATGATGGTTACACATAAGTTTGGTATATTTAATAGTTTTATAAACAATAAGGCTTCATTTATGTATTTATTTTCATTTGAATTACAGTGTTTTTTTTTATTTTAGCCACAAATGTTACCTCCATTTCAGTTTTCTATTTTATATTAGTTTTATTCACCCATAATACCCAGAGGCGTAGCCAGAAATTTTTTTATAAGGGTTGCCATCCAATGTACACTGAGGGGTGGCCGAAGGTAGATAGGCACCAAAACCTCACGGTCAATCTATACTTTTCTAACAGGAAAATTAACAAGAAAAACCTCCATATTTTCTAAATAAAGACAAACTATACTTTCCCACAGGCTTTGCTAACAAATAGACAAATATATTCAAACTGCTTTGTAGATAAAAATTTGGTTTGAGTTTTGGACGAACATTGTTTCCAATATCATTACTTACCTACTTTTATCAGTAATCATTCTGCATAAACTTGATATATTTGCAAGTTATAATATCTACAAAATTCATTATTTAATACGTTTTTTTTATTGTTATTTATCTATGATTTCACTGAAGAATCCTAGATGACTTACAGAGACACATAATTTTCTGCTTGAATTCTGTACTTATTATCTTGAGTGTTAGTATATTGATGAGCATTAGCAACCACAGTGTTTTTGTTATCAAGTAAGTGTTAATATATAAAAGCCTCCTTATAATAAACAGGGAATCGTAAATGAGTGAATATTTTTTAACACAGCTATAGGCCAAGCTGCTATAGTTCCTCTAAATGATCATTATATATTCTGTCTTTTTGTTGGTCAATCATGTTGCCACACAGGATTTGCTTTTTCCGTGAATCTTAGCAGGTTCCCTGTCAGCACGGAAGACGTTGTGATCTGATATGAGTGACGTTTTCCTTTCTCTTTTCTCCCTCTATGTCTATCTGATGTTTCTCTGTTTCCTTCAACCTCGTAGCCAGTAGCTCATTCAAAAACCACTTCACTTTAGGTAAGACTTGTTGCTTCTCCGCTTTGTGCTGAATGGCTGGCATCAATGAGTTTATAATAGGCGTTAACTGCTTGCCGTACCTCACCTGCATGTTAAACTACATATTAAAACTGCTAAAGTATTTAAGCCTCCTTAGCTGCATCACGTTTTTTCAATTGGCTTCAATGTTTTAGCTGCAAATTAGGTTTTTAAGATACTAAATAAGAATACAATTTTATTTTATTTGTAAAATAAATTTAAAAACCACTTATAATTTGCAAAATTTCTCTACTTTAACTTTAGGCATATATTATTGTACAAGAAGCTGCTTTTAACATCAGATGAGCCAAATCCCATTGCTTTTAACTATCTAAACCACTTACTGAAATGTGGGTCAGCAGTTTTCTTCACCACTCCTGTTTGCCACATAAAGGTTTTAGGTCTAAAGGGTTTTTTGGAGAGTCAATGAGACGTGCATTCTCTCCCAGTTCCTTCAGAGGGATTGGAGTAAGTTGAAAGTAGGGCTATTTTTGCCTCCGTCGAAGCGAGGCCCGCTGATATTTCGCACCATGTTGGTGTTGAGGCACTCAAAAACTATGTGGGGCACAGATCCCTTTCCAAACAAGTATTCTTAGAAGTTCAGGTATGCCTGCAGAGATAGGGGCCTAGCTCATGCTTTCACAAACACATTTTATGGATAGCATCGAAGTGCAGAAACATGCAGCATGAGTGTTGCACGCCTTATATCAGCGGATTATCTGAATCAGGTCAAGTATGGTCTCTGCCTCTGGCTCGTCAGCTGACAGCAGAAGACGGATTCTCATTTTCGTCCCCATGCCAGCAGCAGCTGATAGCAGCACGCTTTGTGGCTAACTGCTGCTTGCTACATGGAGGTTATTCTTAGAATCTAACAGTTGCTTTAAAAGATCCTCTTTGCTTTCTGCTGCACATTTTCTTTTCTTTTTTTTTTCTGTAGTTTCATGCACAAAACTGATAACTGCTTTACTCTGTGTTTCTCATGCACAAAGTTAATGATAATCATCAAATGTTAATTTGGTGTGAAGATATCAAAAAGAAATCCAAAATGACATTAAACATAAGACAGCAATGAAATGATAGAGACATTTTGCAGAGCCTGACATTTTTTTTTATAAGTAGACGAGTGATTTCTTTAGAACCAACTTCCAAAACAAAAGGGGAAAAAAATCATGTGTAACAAAGAAATTGCACCCTATTCTTTCTTAGGTTGTAGAACCAGCTTAAAGGTATAGTGGAGGAGATTTTTTTTCCGGGTGGATCATCAAAACAAATGGTCCTCCTAATTGTCAATCATTCTGGCGATATGTTTACGTAAGCCCGTCCTATGTGCTCGTCCACATTTTCACTCATCGGTCTTACTTATACCCCGTTTACACTACCCTTAAAAAACTGAGCCGAGACCGGTCCGAGCTCAGTAACTGAGATAACTTGTCGTGTGTGAACGGAAACAACCTGAACTGAACCGAGATAAACATAACCAGACCGCGCTAACTGCAGACCAGTTCCCGAGGTGGGTTCGGCTCGGTTTTTCCCTGGCTCGGTTCTCTGATAACAAGAGCGCATGAGCAGAACGCGTCATCGCCGACTGGCTGAACATGCCGATTCACACTCCATTCCAGAAAGTCGGCTTCCCAAAAGCCGACTTTCTCAAGTACATCCGCGCAAGGTTGCCGTCTTCGCCTGACCCACCGCAAACACGGAAGTACAGCAATAATAATCAAGCATAACTTTCTGAATGTGACGGGCGCCGCCATTTTAATTTGCTTGATTCCCTCCTCCTTCGTCTTCTTCTTCTTGGGTTTTACGGCGGTTGACAAACAGCGTTTGGTGCATTACCGCCACCAGCTGCTTGAGTCCCTCCTTCAATCCTAGCAGTAATACCGCACATCGTCACTAGGAGGCGAGGAGTCGAGGCGTCGAGATAACCGAGATAAGTGTGACGTGTGAACGGTCGTCAAAACTGAGCTTGGCCTGGTTACCGATCCAAGCTCGGACCGGTCTCGGCCTGGATCGGTTTTTCAAGGGTAGTGTAAATGGGGCTATAGTGTCTCACATAGTGGAAAAATTGCAAATCTTTTTGAAACTAAGCTTGTATGAACGATGCAGACAGCAACTTTTAAAAAGAGCGTGAACGAGGAGAAATTGGCTCGTGCATTGCTATCACAAAAGTTTAATAGGCGTAGGTACAGGATTGTGCATGCGCATTTTTTTTAAGTGGAGAGGGCGGGTTCGACAAAAGCAAAAAAAGATATATTTTTTTTTAGGTTTTTGCAGCCCTAGTGGCCTGTTTTTGGAAATTAGGTTGACAGTAAAGGGGTATAAGACATGTGGGGGAGAGACATGTCGCAGGCCGGATTCACACCCAGGTTGGCCGCATTGAGTACATGGGTCGTGCATGCTAACTACTGTACCGCTGAAGGACACCCGTTTTTGTCAAAGTTTCAGGAAAATCCTCCACTATACCTGTACGAACCTGAAATAGTCATTTGGATTCACTTTTTGTTTTTGAAGAATTGCTTTAGTTCCTTGTCTCTATGAACTTCATTAACTAGGCTGTGGTCTGGACTTTGAATGGACCACTCCACAGCTCTATTCTTTCCCAATTCATCCTTTCTCTTGTAGTTTTGCTGCTGGTTTTAGTTCCTGTTCTCTTATATCCCCCAATTTCTTTAAAATTCAGTCATATAATACTGAGAACTTTATGGTTGACTCAATGACCAAAAGGTTCTCAGTTGTAGTTGCTGTAAAACAAGCCCAAAGCATCACCCCTCCAATGCCATGCTTGATAAGATAAGTGAGATGTTGCGTGTGCTTCTTTCATGCACTTGTTTGCTACCGAGCATCTTCGCTCTGGTCTCACTTTTCCACTCACTTGCCAGGAGTTTTGTGGCTCATAAAGACAAAGAGTCGTAATGTTAAATTTTTTCTCACTCTTTACTTGTTATTTATCAATTACTCGAGCAATTTGCCTTTTGAAACAAAGCTGTAAGGGTGTACTTTGTTTTTTACCAATGATTTTACTTGGATACTTTTTCCCCCGATGACTGTGTATTTAACTGCTAACCTAGTTATTTTGGCGTCTGCTTTAGAAAGAGTCACAAAGTTCATTTTTGTTGACAAGGCAGGATTGAGAGCTCCGTAGGTAGCCGTTCGCCATCATCACCTCCTGTTTCCTCACTCTCAGGTCGTACGGTGTCGGTCTCAGGGGTCACTGGGCCCTTCAGAGCCTTCCCAAAGTCTCTAAGCGTGGATTTTGGAGGTCTAAACCATCCTCAGCAGCAGTCCCTCCCCCAGTCTTTGTCCCAGCCACAGCAGCAGCAGTCGGTCAGTGTCAGCCAGACACCGGCTGTCAACAGTTCCAGCAGCCAGGACAAGTACGCTGCCCTGTCGCAGCTGGACAGCGTGTTTACTGAAACATCTCCAGCTGCAGGTATGCCATGTTTGTCATGTTTGACCCGTGCATGTTTACACTTTGCTCAAGAGGATGAAACCCAATGAGGGATGCAGTTTGACCGTCCAAAAGCTGCAGAGCTATGGATTAAAACTGCTTTAAAAAACTTCAAAGGAATTTATTACCTAATTATAAAGACCTCATTCTAATCTGACTCAAATATTCAGGAAAAATCTGAAATTTTATTTACTATCTTTCAGGTGAGGCTAAAGGGAAAAAGATGTTTAGAAAATATGGAAATTTTATACCTAATTTAACTATCCAGAGTAAAAAAAATTTCAAAATAAAAGTTTTATATTCCCGAAAGACATTGGTGAGTATAAAATTCAGCTGATTACATTTATTAAGGAAAAACCACGACCAACTTGTTGTCCTGTCAGTACAATGTTATTTATAAAAGCAGAGTCAATTTTACACCTGGTGTTAAAGGATACACACCTTCCAGAAAGATTCAGTTTTGATTCACAGAATATTCTCCAAAAAAGACTTTTAATATCATAAGGAAGCTTTTTAATAAACATGAGATGACCGTGTATTTATGGTCAGCAGAGGTCACACTCTTCTAATAGTCTCTTATCCTGCTTCTCTTTCTTACTGTTGAATCATGAACTTTGACCTTATCTGATGTGAGGCCTGCAGAGTTTTTGGATGTTGTTCTGGGTTTTTTAGTGGCTCACTTGTTTATACACTATTGAAGTAATGTTGGCAGGCTGGCGTCTCCTGGAAAGGTTCCCCCCGTCCCATCTTCTCTCCATATGTGGATAACGACTCTGAGTCCCAAAGCCTCAGGAAAGGTTTAGTAAAACTTTTCAGGCTGATTCAGATTCAGTTTCTGATCTTTAGTTTAGATAGTAACCTAACTGCAACTTTTAGTCTTCTTCTAGTTGTCACAGAGCTTCTATTTAGGGCATTTCTTGACTTTCTCATGGTTATCAGACAGGAAGTGGCTGATAAAACTACGTCCTGTAGTTCTTATAGTTTGGATTTTAATCAGGACCTCTGAAACAGAGGCAGTTTTAGAGCGTGTGTGTGATCCAGATTTGGAAGGCCAACTCAGCTCAGTTGCATAACACTGCTTCACTCCAAATGCCAAGAGTCGCTGCAGCTGAATTATGCTCATTGTGTTTACTCCAGATCCTGCACAGTTGGATTCAAAGGACCCTGTTGACTCATTTTAAAGTGATCGGCTTTGTTTATCTAAACACCAGGCGGCCTGCTTTAATGGATGTAATGCATGTGCGGAGCCCCGGGGGTTTCCCACAAGAGGCTGTGTTGTTTTCTGGCTTCTACAGCCTCCTCAGTCAGGTTATTGATTTTCTGCTCCAGCTCATTCTGGTCTATATTTGCCCAAAATGCAGAAATTCTTATAAGTATAATTTTTTTACAACTTAGTTTATTATTGTTGTTTGTGAGTTTATTGAGTTTCACTCGCATTTTAAGCTAATAGTTGCACTTGATCTTTTTAATTGGGGTTAATTACAAGCCTGAAGTCATGTGATGTGTGTTTTTCTTTTTGAAATGCTTGCTTGCAGCTCCACCTAGTGGCCCTCCTCAGTACAGCTCTCTCTTTGGCAGCAGGCTCTCGTCCAGCTCTACTCCTGCCAGGTAAGAATAGAAATATAATATATGTGGAGCCTTTTGAAGGTCAGACTCACATCAATGTATGTCTGTCTGTCTTTCTTTCTTTTTTTGTTCTTTCTCTTTTTTGTTCTTTCTTTCTTTCTTTTTTTGCTCTTTCTTTCCTTTTTTGTTCTTTCTTTCTTTCATTTTTTGTTCTTTCTTTTTTTTGTTCTTTCTTTCTTTCTTTTTTTGTTGTTCTTTCTCTCTTCCCTCCCAGCTCCCCGGGGGTCGATGCCGTTTCCAGCTCCCAAAGTTTTGGAAGTGAGTACATATTGATCCCTGGCTACCAGGCTTAGATGGATTTTCATTCAGCCTTTCATGTTAAGATTTAAAGCCTGGTCGATGTGAATTGGCAGGAATTTGCCCTGTTAACCTATAGCACGGTTAATTATCTCCCTGTCTTCTTGTGTCTCAGATTTCCCCAACCCATTCAGCTCCGTCGCCGGGTCAGCTTCCCAACAGCCCGTTGCCCTCTCCCCCAGTAACCCCTTCAGCAGCGCCTCAGGAGGTAAGCCCTCCTGTCAGCGGTTTGCAGAAGCTTTCAACTTTTTTTTGTCTGTAATAGAAGATGAAAACAAATCTGGCTGTTTGAAAATAAACTAAAAAAAATAAGTAGTGCTTTAAGGTTTTTCCATTTATTCTACTTGTAAATGTTTTAACGACAAAGAAGTGATAACTTTAGATTCAGAGAAGCATCTAAGATTGTCAGCTTTGAGTGAAAATCTGAATCAAACAATAAAGGACCGTCTACGCGTCTCCACACTCCTGTTGCTTCTCTGTTAAACATAGAGATGGAAAATGAAGTCTGCCTTCTCCTCTTCACCTGATTTTAGAGAAATAAATCCTGTCTGATTGAACTGCTTCTTCCCTCCAGGCGACTCTGGTGCGTTTGTCACTTCACCCACCTCCGTTTTCCCCTCGTCCGCTTCCTTCCCAGCTCCAACCACCCAGAATGCATTTCACCACGAGTCGGCCTCCAATCAAGAAACTAACGGTGAGATTTTTTCCATCGCTCTTCGTGCCCTTATGTCAATAATATAAATAAACATATATAATTCCATTTTTCACACGTTTAAGCTCCTATAAGAGATGTTCCTAAACATTTCAGTGTGTGACTGCAAAAAATAAAATGAAACACACTGGCAACCCCCTAAAAAACATATGATTACCTCCTTTTATATAAATATATATATAAATAATTAGATTGATATATTTAATTACTTTATTATTTCAAATTTGTTTTGGTTATTTAATAGGACATGAAATTATTTTATTGCGCATTTTAAAATGTAATGGTATATTTAATTTTGAATCATGCATTGCTAAATTAATAAATGTTAAATCTACTTATTTTATGGTCCTTTTATTTATTTTATGATATATTTTGGCCCTCCATATACCTCAGGAATCACATCACAATGACTGTCAAAAGTCTTTCAGACCCCCCATTTGGCGTCTCGTGATCCCAGGGAGGGCCCCCACCCCCACTTTGAGAACCCCTGTCTTACATGATAACAAACCTAAAAACATATTTTAACCCTATTCAATAATCAATTAAAAATAACTATTTCAGCCTTACAATAATCAAACTCCTCTTTTGATTCCTTTTGACTGATATTTCAACAATTAATCTTTGGTTATGAGCTTTAAACAGAAATAAAACTGTATTTAAAGAATATGTGTTTTTGAATCAAAGAATGATTTTTCTATATTTATTTTCACATTTAATTCAAAATTTAATTTTAGGATTCACTCTGATTTTCTTCTATAAAGTCTGGAAACAAGTATTTTACAATTTAACTGTAAATGTGTGTTTTTATACTTAACAGACTGATCTTATACACAAAATTATAAACATAAGACAGAAAGCTAAGAAATATCATTGATGCATGTCTGTCATTTGTTGAAGACAGAACAAGTCACTAACAAATAAATCATAGGACCATAAAAAAGTGTTTGCTTGGTGACGTTGAAAAGGAAACAAAGCACCATTTTTAAAATACTTTATAAATATCACAAAAAAAATCTTTTTTTAAATCAGCTTATTTTAGAACACTTAGAATACTTTGTTTTTTAATAAGAGGCCACTTTTGTCTTGCATGTACCCCAACTTTGACCCATTTTTGCTTTCAAATTGGCAAAAGCTTTACTTTTTCATCTCATGTCACAGATTCTTGAGACTTTGATTGGGCTATTCTAACTCACATACCGGAAATACTAGAAATAAGTAAAAAAAATCTTCAATTAAATGCATTTACCCTTACTTTTAGTAGGGAAATAAGATGAGTATTTTTACTCTTAAAGTAAGATAATTAGGTAATATGTTATTGCAATTTGACACGGCAATTGTTTTTCCTTATTTTCACTGTAAATTGTCTTGTTCCATTGGCAAAGTGTCTCACTTACCTCCTCAATTCAAGACAAAATGCCATTATTTTAAGAAAGATAGATTTCAGTTTTTTGCAGTGTCTAAACTGCTGCACTGTAACTGTGGCTGCAAGTTTAACCCCATAACGCCTATTGTTGCTAATATGCAACAAACTCGTTGTATTACATCCAAAGACAACCATGTGCTAGGAACAATGGGGAGCTCTTGTTTCCATTATAACTGGTCCATAATGGTATAGATAATAATAATATAAGAGTAGACCCCGCGTCGACAGCTTTCACCTATGGAAGTTGATGTAATTTGGTGGCGCGATCTTGGGAAGGTCGACAGCTCCACTCAGTTGAGCAGGCACAGAACGAATTTTAATCACCTTTAACTCAATATTGAACTAATTTTCTCGCTTTTTGTGTGTGTGTGTGTTTTTTGTTTTTTTTTTCTTAAAACAAGCAAATAGTTCAGTACATTTCCATATTCTTCTTGGGGTTAAGAGTAATATAATATTCTGATAGAATGTATGTATGTGTCAAAGCACAGCCACTTGTACATTTATAAAAAATATTATTACTAGCCTATTTACCGGTACAAAATGTATACACATCTCTCTCTCTCTAGGTAGTGTGTATATACTGTCTATTCAGTAATGTCTTCCAAAGCTCTGATGCCATCACAAAGTTATCCCTCGAGCCCGATGCAAACAGTGCGTTGATTCAAACAAAAATACGCTGCACAGTGTTTAAGCATCCTTCTTCTGTTCTGTTTAAAATAGCCGGTTAGGTCAGCAGCTCGACCTCCCAAAGATGGCGCCCATAATTTCTGTGCCGTGACAGTCAATGCAGGGTCTACTCCTATATGTCTTTGCCTAATGATGTACTCTCTCATGGACCTTCATAAATGTCTAAAATTTGTAATATACCTACAATTTTGTTTATTCTTGAAATAAATGTAAAGCTTCAAATTTCAATTTCACAACAGCTTAAATGCATTTTTCAAATGTGTATAAATTCAGGTGTGCCTCAGTGGAAATTGGATATCAGTCTCAAGTCTTTGCAGCATCTAACTCTGAGGTCCCCATGCAACATTGGACAGTGTTGGACCAGATTCGCTTCATGAGTGTGTGGTCCCTAGATTAGGAGTGCTTTTATTTTGAAAAACAAAAACTGAAAGCCTCCGTGTGCTTTTGCCATTGTGCTTTGGTAGGAAACATAAAGACATGAAGGAAGGAGTGTCTGGTTCTGGTCTGCTGTTTTGGTTTTACGAGGGTTATATAAAGGACGGCTCAGTCCTGCCGTTTGATGGTTCTTCATATAAAGTCCCAATAAAATACAACGATGTTTGTGGTTGTGACGCCACAGAGTGTGGAGAAGTTCAATGGAGGAACGGCAGGCCAAACCAGAATACATTTAACCTCGGTCCACTAAGTCTTTTGTCGTTCAGCAGTGGAGGAACAGCCACTGACACAGAGCCGCTATCACGCTCCAGCCCCTGTGGGGGTCTCGTCTCAGCGTCGTTTGCTTGAACCACCCAACATGTTTTTGTCTTTCCCTGCAGGTTTCGCCTCATTCCCAGAACCCGACTCTCTGCCTACGGTCCCCCGGCCCATGTCTGTGAACCCCTTCACGGTGCGTTTGCTGCCCAGAGAGCAAGTTAGAAACCCTGGCCCTCAGATGCACCTTAGGAGCTGTCATTACTGCCGTTTCTCACCTTATCTCTCTTATTCTGCAGGGGAATGTTTACTCCAGTCGGGGGACGTCGAAAAATCCTTTCATCTGATCAGCGTCCCCTCCTTCTCTTCTCCTCTTCTCTAAGAACCGAGGGAGGAGTGAACTTAAGGAGCTGCTGACATTTGAAAGCCTCTGGAGTGATTTCACCCCGTCAGGGAGGGCCCTTCCTCCATCCCTCCCTCCTATTTCTCTCTGTGTTTACGTGTTTGAGGGGGAAAGAAAAAGAACGGAAAACAGTGTGAATGTAATAACAAAACCTGTATGCTTGTGCGAATGTGGTTTTTTTTCCTGTGACGGTAGACGCCACCTCAGGGCTCTGTGGGAGTCACGAGTGAACAATGCCTCTTTAATTTTACCCACAAACTATATCACACCACACACATGTTGCTGCTGCTGCTGCTATTGTGCTTTCATCTCCTGCTTATAGGTGCAAAAATAAAAAGAAACACACCTCCCTGGCGAAAACAGCCCACCGGTTAGGACGTCATCTGCTTTAAAACCTCTCGATCTCAGCTGGCGAGACAGGGACTTTGACTTGTCATCGCTAGTCCCTGTAAATCCTTTTTAACAGCCTTAACAACCTCCTGATGCATGGGAATTAGCGTCTTAGGACCTGTGTGTGTGCGTGTGTGTGTGTAGAACAGGTTTGCATTTCTCCTTTTTATTTTGGGTCAAAATTATGGATCAGAAATGATCACTGTTCTCCACTCTCAGGCTGCATGCGCTTATAGGGCTAAAAGGAGATGCTACTGAATGTAAAAGCAAATTTCAGAGTAAGAAAAACAAACATAAAACGAAACAAAGTATGTATAAAATGTTCAATGCTTCATGTACTGGACCAAAATGCTTTTTCTTTTTTTAAGTGAGATAAAGGTTATATCATTTTTTTCTGCCAAAAAGAACAGAAAAGCAGAGTTTCATGTATTAACGTCTTTGTAATGACATGTATTCATGTTCATAAAATCAACTTCTTAATATAGTGAGGCTCTTTGTGTCTCTCTGGTTATTTTAGCTTATAAATAACATGCAAACATTTTTTTAGATCATTTATTTTTAACTGACTCAGTATGATCGATTGGTTCTTATGGGAAAATGATCCGTCCATCCATCCAATCAACTTAGTTTTTTAAAGCAGTATAAATGTCAGTTTAACACTTAATAAAAGTTTTCTTTTATTTTCCAACATCCTTCTTAAAAGTAATAAGAAATATATATATTTTAAAAACCTTTTAAAGAAAGGTGGATAATTTGGACAAAGTTATCGAAACAAAAATGGCAGTAACTTTGCCGAACAGCAGGGGGCGCTTCACGGTCATTTTGTGTTTGCCCTCCTGAGGAGGGATCATTTTGGATGCATATTGCATAACAGCATGCATACTGCATAAGCATGCAGCACGAAGATGGAACCGCTGGGTGCATTTTGAAATATTTATTCAAATCTTTCATTTGTCTTTCTTTTTTGTTATAAAAAAAAAAAAAAAAAAAAAATATATATATATATATATATATATATATATATATATATATATATATATATATATATATATATATATATATATATATATATATATATATGATTACAATAATTAATCAATTTTGATTTGTGAAAATGCAATGCAGTGTAAAAAAATGACAAAAGTCCAAATGATTTCTTAAGCTTACCCTTATTTCATTATTGTCAGCACAATTTCTGTTTTGCTCGATGTTATTTGGAAAGAACTGTTGAAATTAATTAGTATTTCAAACATTTCTATGAGGACGAGTACAATTTTTTTCCAGCAACAAATAGATCAGAATGGACCCCCTGGAAGGCCTAAGGCAGAAATCTTACGCCATAAAAGAAGGTGGAAGTGCTGTTGCCTTCCAGTGCTGTGGGAATTTCTAGTTACATGAAAAGAGTAGTGACAAAAGAGTTAAGAAAGGACAGTTTAGCAAAGGAAAGACACAAATAGAAGCTATATATACTGCTTCCAAAGTTAGAGTCCAATTTTATTACCTTTTTGTCAGGTTCTGGGTTGAACCTAAAAAGTGACTTTATATACATTGCATTTTAGCCCAAAGAGTAAGCACCATTTACAGCCCAATATCGCCACACTGATGAAGACCCATATAAAAGAAGCAAGTCTATCTTTAAGTGTGTGACCCAGTTTTTTACTTTTTTAGTGGTTCCTTTAAAATTTGGCAAAGTCTCCCTGAGTTTCATCACAATAAATCACTAAATAGATAAATCACAATATTGGATCATCAAAATACATAAGTATAATTTTAAACAAATAGAAAAAGAAAAAAGAACAAGCCTCTGTTTTATATTATGTCAATATACTGTTACATGTTTTTTTTAGGTCATGTCTAAAAAGCAGGTAATATAATAATGTTTAATAATAATACTAATACTAAAATAGTTGATACTTTTATAAAATTATAAAACTATTATTAAAAAAAAGACAGAATTAAATGAGTTGCAATATATTTCTAAATAAGAAAGTTGTATTGTATGGTACACAGCATTTTAGAGCAGTTTAAAAAAAACAACTATTTGTGAAATTGAACGACGCTGTAACTGATTAGAGAACTCATAGTTCATCCATTCAATTCAGTTTATTTATATAGCACAATTCACAACACATTGCAACTCAAGGCACTTCACAGAGAAAATTCTACCAGATCATACAGTCAGTTTGGTTCTAGGTTTTCTAGGGAAAACCTGCTAATTGCATCGACTCGTTTACTATTTAGGAATGGTAGTTGGTTCCACAGGTGAGGAGCCTGATAACTAAAAGATCTGCCTCCCATTCTATTTTTAGAAATTCTAGGAACCACTAGTAAACTTGCAGATTGAGAGCGAAGTGCTCTGTTAGGAACATAAGGAACAATCAGATCTCTGATATCAGATAGAGCTTGGCCATTTAAGGCTTTATATGTGAGAAGGAGGATTTTAAATTATGTTCTGGATTTAACAGGAAGCCAATGAAGAGAAGCCAAGATAGGAGAGATATGATCTCTCTTTTTAATTTTCATCAGAACTCTGGCTGCAGCATTTTGGATCAGCTGAAGGCTTTTAACTACAGCTGTGGACTTCCCAATAGTAAAGAATTACAATAGTCCAGACTTTAAGGAACAAATGCATGGACTAGTTTCTCAGCATCACCCCTGGACAGGAGATTTCTAATTTTTGCAATATTCCTCAGATGAAAGAAGGAAATTCTAGAAACCTCTTTGATATGGGATTTATATGACAGGTCCTGACCAAAAATAACATCACGATTTTTTACTTTATTTCCTGAGATCAGTTTAATCCCATCTAAATGAAGTGACTGGCTAATCAGCTTCTTTTTCAGAGACTCTGGTCCAAAGAATATAACTTCTGTTTTGTCTGCAATTAGAAGGAGAAAGTTAAGAGTCATCCAGGTTTTTATGTCTTCGAGACATGCCTGTAATCTATGTAATAGATTAGCTTCATCTGGCTTTATAGACAGATATAGCTGAGTATCATCAGCATAACAGTGGAAATTAATCCCATGCCGTCTAACAATTCTACTGATTGGGAGCATAAATATAGTAAAGAGAATTTGTCCTAGCACAGATCCCTGTGGTACTCCACAGGTAACCCTTGAGCATGAGGAAGATTAATTCTTAACATTAACAAAGTGAAATCTGCACGATAGATATGATTGAAACCAGTCTAGTTCAGTCTATATTCTTACAAAATATAGTGAAAATCCCTTTATTGTCCCACAATGGGAAGATTTTGGTAAATATTTAAGTCTGTCTTAAAGAATAATATGATCAACAGTGTCAAATGCAGCGCTGATCTAACAGGACAATTACTGATACAAGTCTTGAGAATATCAATAGTGACTCTCACCAGTACTGTTCCAGAGCTAGGATGAGCTATAAAACCAAAAAGTTCATTACGGTGTAGGTGGTCACACACTTGTTTGACAACTATTTTATCAAGAATTTTCGATAAGAAAGGAAGATTTCTTTCATATCTGTTAATGTTTCCCTGTTTTAGTTTATTCTGTTTATTTCGTTTATTAAATTCAGAATTCTGGCAAATTCTGAATTTAATCACCAAATTCTAACTTTATTATCCGAATTCTGACTTTCTTCACGGAATACCGCCTTTTAAGTCAGAATACTTACCTTAAGCTCACAATTCAGGTTTTTTTTCTTAGATTTTTTTTTAATGCCCCTTCTTTACTGAGCGGCCGTTTAATTTAATTTTTTTTATTTTTTTATTTGTTAATGTCTATGTCTCTGGTATTTATTTTAATGTATCTATTTATGGCTCTTCCGTACCATTGACATTACAATACGGTGTAACTGGACGATGAGTTGTCAGTACCGCGGTGCAGTCCCTGAACGCACCATATTCTAGAGTACTACAGACATGAGATTAGTGGAGGGAATTCCGGCTACTTTTCGAGATCCACACAAGTCGGCTTAAATCGGCTCTTCCATTTTTTTAAACAACCAAGGGCTGATAATACAAAACAGGGTCCAATACGACCTCTTGCTAATAGATATACTTAGTCTATCGTCATTTAATTGAACATTTACAAGGAGGTAATGTCATATTCTGTTGTAAAACTTTTCCAAGCAAAATATACAATATGTTGTTTAACAAAATCAGCAATGCCACCTAAAGTCAGAAGTTTCTTGCAAACTTGCAGGGTATCTAATTAAAAACTGTATGTATTTACCTTCAAAACTGAAGCAGCTTGGATTCTGTGCCTCTCTGCTCTTAAGTCCAAACTCTGAGATGTTGATTTCTACTTTTTCTACTTTGACCAAATAACATACAAGCGGTTCAGGAGTGACTTACCATATGAGATGTAACCGCTGTAGTCTATGGGGACCTGAACAAGTCATCAAATTTGAAAAACTAATTAGGAAGACTGATTAAACATAAGTTGCTTCCACAATCTTTCCATCTGCCCCATTAATGAAGCCCCTTTAGCTGTATTGTTTCTTTAATTTGTCAATAGGTGGTCCACAACTAATAAAGTCTCTCACCACTGCAGTTATTCCTTGACTTCTGGATATTTTATTTAAAAGTTTTTCTTATAAATTTTATTATTTATGTGTTTTTATTACATGGCATATTCCCATTTACTCTTTTATGATTATAACACAAAGCTATTAAATGATCCTTACATGGTGCATATTCATTAGTTTATTATAGATAATAAAGTAATGATATACATAAATGTCGGGTGTATTAATAAAGTATACTTACTCAAAATTATTACTAATGAGTTTATTTATTTCAAGTGCATGAAGTTTCTCCTATGAATTGCATAATAGTCAGCAGCCCTGTAACAACCAATGAGGTCATGTCCTCCATATTTTCTTGTTTTTTTATTTTTTATTTTCATTTTTATTAATTCAGAGAAATGTCATACTATATGATGAAAATTGTTCTGACTTTGACTGGTGTAAAGATCAGCGTTCATTCTCATTTGTTGAAAAAAAAAAAGTCCACAATGTGATATAATATAGAAAGTAATTTGATTCATTTAGTGGGCTATGCACATTGACAATAATAACAGTAGTAATAATCATTCAATATTAATAACAACAATAATAATATAATATAATGATGATAATAATAATAACACTCACTCACTCAAATATTCTAATTTTGTGAGTTTTGGAATTGTTATACTAAACATGTTCATATTCACCTCCTTGACAGGCTTGTTATTTAACTCTTTATTCATAATTCCAAAATATTTTTTATAAAGTCACCACATTAGGATGTTATTTTGTCAAGCAAGATTTATCGCAATATTTGACATCTGTATTTCAGAAATCCTGATTACAGCCCTGATAGTCAATTCAAAAAACAAACTTTATATATTTGAAATAAATACACTACATAGTATTCATTTTGAGCAAGCATGCTTTATTAATAATAAATAAATAATTTTATTGTTTATTATGTCTTTACCATCCTTATTTTTCATTATAGATATCACTATGCCTTTCTTTTGTTTATGTGTGAGACTTTTTTCTAAAAAAGAAACATTTCACAATACGTATAATTGAAAACAAATAAAAAATAAGCACCATGTCAGGTTTATTTATTATGTTTTTGTTAATATTATCTCTAAAATAAGAGCATTGGATAATTTTTTTCTATCATAAAGTGATATAAATCTTAAAACCTGAGTGAACAATTTCAGTGAGTGTAGAGTAAGTAGAAGTTCATTTCGTTGAACCGGCACATTGAATCGGCTCGGCATCGGGCTGCTCCCAAAGTGAGCGACTGTGTCGCTCCACGGTAGCAGCTCCTCTCTTCTCCGCTCTGCGCTGTAGCAGCATCAGAGCTGACCAGAGCAGGGCAGGGGTGGGGGGACAGGCAGACGCATGGTCTCTGGACTCTGTGATGTGCAGTAAATGGGATTAACCCGCCCAGACAGCTCTGGGAAACAACGCTAGTAGTAGTAGAGGGGAGGACAGAGAGAGGAGGGGTCGGTAGCTGGGGGGGGGGATCCCCGCGTAAAAAGCTTCGCCGCATGTGGAAAACTTGCTCTGCTGGAGAGAAAACAAGCTCCCCCTTCCAAGAAAAGAAAAAAAAAAAACAGAGCCGGGTCCAGACTTGCAGCAGCGTCCGGATCGACCTCCAGCTCTCCTTTGGCGCACATGCCTGGTTGATGTGGATGAGAGGAGCGCAGCGGACCTGGGAGCATGTTTGAATCCTCCTGCTAAAAGTTGCAGGGAGGAAAAAACAAACCCAACTACATTGATCATCTGGTTCCTTTTTTATCTGTATTGCTGAGAACCCAACTAATGGAGGGCCCAGCCGGAGAGCTGCACGGCAACGAGGACGTGCGCAAGAGCGGCTACCTCCGAAAGCAGAAGTCCATGCACCGGCGCTACTTCGTGCTGCGCGCCGCCTCGGAGCGCGGACCGGCCCGCCTGGAGTACTATGAGAGCGAGAAGAAGTTCCGCGGCAAGGCCCCCGTCCCGAAGAAGGCGGTGGCGCTGGAGACGTGCTTCAACATCAACAAGCGGGCCGACTCCAAAAACAAGCACATGATCGTGCTCTACACCCGGGCGGAGAGCTTCGCCGTGGCCGCGGAGAACCAGGAGGACCAAGAGGAGTGGTTCCAGGCCATGGTGGAGCTGCAGTGCAAAGGTAAAGCAGGCTGCATGGGGGAGAAACGTGGCAGTGGCTGCAGAGGCGCTCTGCAGGGACATGTTTCATTAGTGCTTTGGGTCAACAGGAGGAGATTAGTTAAATAAAACAAAACATTATAATCTAGTCTGCGTGGATTCCCACACTCATGCATTTAAAAAGAGGCTTTCAAACATTGTTATGCGCGCTTTTACAAACCAAACACAGTTTAAAGAGTTGCCTGAACACATGCCTCTAAGTATGGGAATCCAATGGGGCCGCAATGCACACAAACCATAAAGGAATGAATGACTCATTCATTTCTAAAGCGACTTTCACAGACAGGATCTGAAAATTAGCTGTGTTTAAGAGGAGTGACTATAGCTCAAGGTCTTTAAAGTAGCTTTTACTGCCATCATATGCTTGCAAATAAACTGGGGACAATAACACAAATCAAAAGCATAAAGAACTTGTTATCACTCTACAGAAAGATAGGAGTGATTATTGTGATTGCCAAAACAGCAAAACTATTATAATGCTTTAAAATTCAATTGTGAATCCCTCATATTTAGTTTATTATAACAACTTTGCATTACACAGTCAATTCCACAGTGTTAAATGCAGCAAGAAGATCCGGGTTCGATTCACTTTCTGCATGGGGTTTGCATGTTCTCCCTGTGCTGCGTCGGCTCTCTCGGGGTACTCCTGCTTCCTCCCACAGTCCAAAAACATGACTGTTAGGTTAATTTGTTTTTCTAAATTCTCCTTAGGTGTGTGTGAATGGTTGTTTGTTTGTGTGTTGCCCTGGAGACCTGTCCAGGACCCCTCGCGACCCCACTTGGGATAAGCGTGATAGAAAATGGATGGATGGATAAATATGTAATGTACATTGACTCTTTTAGAGTATTACAAAAACGACTGGATTAAGATATACACTACATAGAGTTAATTCAACACTAATTCAGAGTTGGACCAAATGCACTGGGATTGATGTTACATTTAACTCTCAAAGTGTTACTTTAACACTGCAAAACACTGTTTCAGCCTAGGAATACATTAAATACTCCCTTAGAATTATTTGGTTTTGCCCTAAGAAGTGTTTGATGTCACACCAAAGGTTTTCTATCAAGTTAAGGCGGGATAGTCCTGTTGGTTCTGAAAGTAAGATGATGTCCAGCAGTTGTGTGTGTTTGGGCTGGTGATCTTGTTAGAACATCTGTCCCTTGTTTAGCATAAGTCAGCATATCACCACTGTAAGTGTTTCAGTGTATTTAAATTAATCCATAATCCCACATAAAGTTGAACGGTGTAGTAAAATACTTCCACATATCACGATTCCTGAGCCTCCATGCGGCATGGTAGACAAGGGATAGGTTCAGGGTTGGGTGGTTTGTCTTGTAATCTTTCTAGACTCTAAATTAATAATGTTGGTTTTATTTGTTTATGACATGTTCCCTTTCATTTTAGGCCTTTATTATGTAATTTCTCTAATTTTCTGATTTAATTTAATTTATGAACAGCACTTTGTTGTGTTTTTAGAAAGGCATGTTCTAGTCATTCTCCTTAAATCACCTTGGAGGTGATCATTAAAGTAGTAGTTTTTTTATTTAATCCAGATCCTTCTGGTTTCTGTTTCCATTTTAAATGAATCAAAGAGGCATTAGTTAGTTTTCTAATGATACTAACACAGAACTGCAGAACTCTTCTGAACGTTATCTTAGCCTGCGCTCGTATTTGACAAGGTTTCATTTATTTTTTACCTTATGTGGAGTTGTCATCGGTGTCGGACTATCCACAAAATAAATCTTGACTGTTTGCTATATTGGACACATTTAACATGGTTGCTCTTCACGGCACATCTGTAGAACCGGGCGAAATTCTGACCCGAAGTAAAGGAAAATAGGCTACAGCCTTATAGATGCATCGGTGCTGAACTACCGAGCTGTCAGCCTGCTTATCAAACCATGTTTTAGTCATGAAGGGTCAAAATAAAAAAATATGTTTATCAGTAAAAACTCACATAATGTTTCTTTAAGTAGAAATAGAGTTTCTTGATGTTGGACTGCAAATATTTTGAGCAACAATGCGGTCATAAAGCTCTGTGCATGATGAGGTCCTGTAATCCATAAAAAAAGATAGTGAAGCTGTTGAAGACGATTTTATGCCCTGTGAAAACAAGAACATGCATTAGTACACGTAGTACAATCAAGTGTTGCCGTTAGTCTAAATTCATAGCAAGTGTTTGACCTGATAGATGGACCTTTAGCTTTTTTTTATTAAAAACACACATTATGCAAATAATTGGAGAGTGGGGATGAAAATTATTCTAAAATTAAGAGCTGTGGTCTTGGTAAATATACACAAAAAGCCAATTTCTTGCTAATTTGTGAACATATTTCAGGCGGGGCTCTAATCTTTGTTTCTATTTTGGTTTCAAAATGGAATTCAGATAAAGGTATTTATCAATAGTGAGGTAGGGGATCACAGAAGATAAAGGTATCATGCTGACATGGTTTTAGAAAACGCGGAGAACAGAGTATCCTTGTCATGGAATTGCTATTCCAAAAAAAGTAAATGTATAAAATAAAAATATAAGTGTACCAAGCAACCAACCTTGAGGAACTCCACAGAATAAGGTCGTTTTGGAAGTTCATTCATCGGTCATCTAAAAGTTTATACCTGTTGAAAGTAAATAATAACTAACATATGTTAATTATTAATTAAAAGCAGAATAAATGTGACATTGATGTTTGACGTAGTTTGTTTTTTATTGTTTCAGGGAGATACATCATTTATAAACGTAATAAAGAGATAATTTAGCTAACTAATGGTGACCCTTATTCATCAGTCAGTGGGCGGGGCTAACACTGCTGTTGTCAAGCCCACTGATTTAAAGTTCACTCAGTGTGCTGATTAAAAAATTGGACGTTTTTCCATTTATTTTGTCAGTGGGAATAGTTCACAGCAGCCAAAGAACCATGAAAAATAAATCATATTTTTGCTTAAAAAGTGTTATGGCTACTAGTTCAAATGGAAATATTTGACTCATCTAAATAACCTTTTCAAATTCAGAAAATTAATAAATTTCAATAATTATAGAGAGTTATAAAATAATCTTTAATACTTAGTTAAATAATATACCCCATTTAAAGTAATATATTAAATCTTAAAACTGTTTTCTGTTTTACTTTAATCATATTAAGAAGTACAGTGTTTTACATACAGATGTAAAATCGTACATTTACTCTTTTTATTAGTTTTTTTTTTGCAGAAATCAGATTTTTAAATAATGCAAAATAACAAAAACCATGTTTGTTATTTTTGACATATTTAGATCGCTTTACATTGATACTTTTCTTTAGTTTCAGGCGAATGCAGAAATGATTTAATCTAATGTTTACTTTACAAACGTTGCATTTATTTGGGTAATTGGGGACCAATCAAATCGTTTTATTTCCTGTTAAACCAAAATGTTCTGATTTAAAGGTATTTAATCAGACATTATATTTTGGCGTTCTGCAACTGAGCAGCAATGTGGGGCTCCATCCTTTCCTCCACAGCTCTTATCAGGCTTGTGTCACACTAGATATTTACTCTAACTTCTTGTGCCCCCCCTCCCTTATTGGGCATCAGTTGTGTGTAAGCTTTTTTTTTCATGCCTCTGTGTCCCAACAGCTCAAACACACCCTGTCCTCATGTTTTCTACTCCTCTTTTCCTGCTGATGCTGCAGGATCAGACGAGTCATTGATCCAAACGGGATCATTTAAAAGTAGTTAAAGAAAAGCCTGTCAGGTTTTAACCAATGCGCGAATAGCCGCAAGTGTGCAAATAGAACAAATGGGGAAAAAGATAAGCAAAAAAAGTATCATCCATATAGATGTTTCTCAAACTGTGTCTGTCGGGACGCTGTGTAAACACAGCTGTCACAGCAGCTCCAGATCACCTGTTCCCTTGCCAGGGACCAAACAGGCCATAAGGGACACATGACGCAATCTCAGCAAATCGAAGATATGAGTTCAAGGTGCCTCTCATGACCTGCTGGTGCTCTGTTGCATAAGGACAGATAAGGAGCCTGATAAATGCCGGCACTCCAGTTTTATTTTCAGCTGAGCAGAAAGTCAAGGAAGTTTTTCAGCGTTTCGGAAAGAGGCAAGCTGGAACAATCGTAGGACGATGCTGCGAGATTCCAAACTCCCCCTCTGGGTTTGTGATTTTAGGTAAAATCTGTAGCCACCCTGCATGTTGTAAAAAAAAAAAAAAAAACTAATTGTAAAAAAAGGCTGCAGTAATTTTAACCTTCTTAACACCTTTAGTTAAATAGTTTTAGTACTCATGGTGCTCACCATGTTGTATCCCTTAAAATGCTTATGGTAAACATCCATCCATCCATTTTACATCACGCGTATCCCTGCTGGGGTCACGAGGGACGCTAGAGAACCCTAGCATGTGCAGGGAGAGCATGCAAACTCCATGCAGAAAGACCCCGGGCTGGGAATCAAACCCAGAACCTTCTTGCTGCAAGGCAGCAGTGCTGCTCACTGCATCACTGAGACAAAAACCCAATTTAAGATTTGCATCTTTAATAGTTTTCCTGTTGATAGACTCTGTCAGCTGAGCATTAGATTTATGCAGCTCCTCCAGAGTTACCAGAAGCCTCCTCCTAATTAATGTTCTCCCTGTCCAGCCTGTTACTGTAGCTGCAGAGTCATGTCTTGGTATGTAAGCAGTTGCTCAATTCTCTCTCCAGGGGGCATTGAGTCAGATGCATGCCACACCTTTTAGGTTTTTTATCAGCAAAAACAAAACGGATCAAGAATTCAGCAAAACTATTTCATTATCTATTACGTCCAATTTTCCCCCCAAATTACAATTAATTTTATAATTTATATATAAAACAGAAATATTGCACAGTTCTGGAGCTAAAAGCCCAAACCAGGCTGTTTTCCCTTTGAATTAGGGGTTCAGGGAGCAGCGCTGCTGCCGCGTTAACTCCTCCTTGTTGCTGCCAGTGTCGCCTTTC